AGCTGTCTAAGCTTTCCATCTCTAATTCTGCTTTTAGCATGCCAAGTCATCTGCTTTACATTTTCTGCACTGCGAAATAGACGTTTTAATCTGGGTATTACTGGAAAAGACCACACGACCTTCGCAGGTGTTGATTCTTTCTTTAGGTATCGTGATACATTACACCTTGGACATTGACTTAGTGATGCATACTTATTTCGGAACAAAATGCAGTCATTAGGATAAGCATGTATCTTTTCATAGGTCATCCAATCGAAGCAAGTACTTGTTTAGCATCATATTTTCTCTTTGGTAGCACATTATCCTCTGGAATAAACTTAGTAAGTCGGTGAAGCTCTTATCAGTCCATCCATTCGACGCTTTTAAGTTATAAAGCTTTAAAACAGAGCTCAATCTTGTGAACTTTGTGCATCCATTATATAATGGTGTTTTTGTATCATCTTTCAACCTCTCAAACATCTTTGGACAATCTCTAAGATCTTCTTCGACAACATTTAGAATTTGTTCAGCATGACTACTCTCATTTATTCTAAATGTCTCTGAGTAATTGACACTCGAATCCATGTTAGTTGATGTACTTCCACCTTGTATCTCACCTTGCTTTGTCCAACAAGTATATTTTTCATCTATCACATTGTACATTAGATGTTCTTCCAATTCTTCCGCATTTACTTGTAACATATTCAAACAACACCAACAAGGACAGGGAATATGGTTGAGATCAGTTGCATGCTTAATCGCAAATCTAATAAACTCTTTGACTCTATCTTCGTATTCTTTACTTAAACGATCAGCTACCATCCAACTTCGATCCATATTTGCTCCAACTACGGTAATGATATTTACAAATGTGAATTTTTTATTAACTCTCACATGGTAGGGCCCTATCCCATTTGAGAACAAACTTTTTCATACCTTAATTAACAATTGCTACTTAAATGTTGTATTTTTTACTTGACAAAATTTGGGCAGCATTTCGCATTAGTCTCCTAGTACACAACTTGAATATGAGATGATTTACCTCAATCAAGTATGCACCAAGAGACAATGAGAAAGCTTCAAACTCAAATTTTGTTAAGTATTAACTACAACATTATAAGAAGCAAATGCTAACCAATAAATGAATAAGTTTGTTCACAAACTGTCCAACTTGGACAGTTTGAGATTGAAAATAATGATTTATTAAATCATTATTTTCAATCTCAAACGGAAAACTAAGGTTTTACTCAATTTTAGATTTCAAATCATACCCTACAAATTTAATCACTAACAATGATCATGCATTCATATCATTCTATAAGACAGAACATCAATTTCATTCATACACAGAGCAAATATACATAAAAGGGGCAAAACAAACAACAATATCTTGTTCAATACATAAACTTATTTCAATTCCCACAACAACATATATAACAACATGTTCCCTGCTTTCTGTTTATATTGGAACAACAAAAAGAAAACACAATAAAACATGATACTTCAATATAGAAAATCAATTTTCACAACAATCAAATGCATTTTCACATTAGTCACCTGCATTACAGTTAACTAGTATTGAATTTTCACATTAATCTCTTGCATTATAATTAACCAGTGTCCTATTATCATGTTCAACAAATCCTAAAAAACCATTCAAACAATATTTTAGAGGTTAACTAACCTAAGGTTCAACCTTTTCAAATCAACTTTTACAAAATAAAAACTAATTTCATGCTCTCTGTCAGGCAGCAATGGTTAAAATTTGAATAAAATAAGTTCATATAAACACAACAACACTAACTTAGAATGAAAGAAGTTTCACTAATTTGTGCAGTTCACCTGAAGCCACTTATGGACGACGGACGTTGGTAACTGTTGAACGTCAATAATACAAGTGCGGTTAAGTGAATAGAGAGAATGAGACAGTGCGAAAGTCCAAACATAGCCAGAAAACAAAGAAACGATTATGAATATACCTTAAAATTCTGAATGCGATGTCAATGGTACTTGTTCTTTTGCAAAAATTTCTCATAAAACACTGAACACATACAAAAATTTGAAGTACAGACTTAGTGCGGCGACAGGGACAACCAGATTAAGGCTTAGGGTTTAATTTAAAAATTGTAACATCTGAGAGTGGTTAAGAAATAACTGCTCTCTAATCTACACCTTTCAAAGCGGTTCCTCGTGTCAACCACTCTGTAAGGTTGTAAGAGCAGTTCCACGTGTGAACCGCTTTCTAAAGTATAGCGCTTTTGAGAGCGGTTATTTAACAACCGCACTCCAAAATAAAATTACCATCAAAAGTACATATTAGAGAGCGGATCCAAATGAACCGCTCTCAGAAGTATATATTTGAGAGCGATTCTTGTGGAACCGCTCTAAGAAGTTAATTTTGAAGAGCGGTTAAGGCAGAACCGTATTCTTAATGTTTTATACAAAGCAATTTTTACTAACCGCTATCTAATTTGGCGCTCCAGAAGCCAATTTCTAGCATAGTGACAAATACGATGAACACAACAAACACGATGAATACAATCAACACGACAAACATGAAGAACTTGAAGAGCACGATGAATATGAAGAACTTGAAGAACACAATGAACATGAACACTATAAACACTAACGTTTATGAATTTTAGTTTAACTTAAGAAAATATATTGTTAATATTGACGTGAATGTTAAAACTCTTAGAGAAGAGAAATACTGACGCTATTGACAAAGATAAACATTAAAAATATTTTTTACATCAGTTATTATAAACAACAAATGTAGAAAGTAACACTTTTTACATCGATTTTTAACAACGGATGTAAAAAGTCTTGGACTTCCTACATTGCTTATATTTACATCGAATACAGAACTGATGTAAAAGGTTTCTATAAAAAGCCTTTTTTCCACTAGTGTGAACGGAAGAGAAAAGTGGAATTTTGCCCTCCCACCGTAATTGAGCTTGACTCGTTCCTTTTGGAATTCATTTAATGGAAGCAAGAGGTTTACCTAATGTTTATATAGAAGTTAATTTCAAAGAGGCTATTGAACTTGATTACTATAGATTATGAATATTTTAGGCCATACATATACTTCTTTAAGATATTAGCTACATTGAATGTATTAACATTTTCCATAAAGCTAATCATTGTACTAATTTGTTAATATAAGACGTAAAGAAGCTATTAGTTGTGTTTTTCCAAAAAGAACCACTTTCTTTTTATTTATTTTTTTACCGTTAGGCAAAATTTTATGGTGATTAGATATCATAAAAGCTTTGTGGATAACTATATATATTTTGTTTCTTTGGGTGTTAAATCCCGTTGAATGGGAAAAAAAAAAATCATTTGTAGTTGATTTATTTAATTATTTTATTAATTTTTAACTATTTTATTATATAAAATATTAAAATTAAATGCTAATAAGAAAGTTGTATTTTTCATGTATAACTTTTTATTTTAATTAAAACAATTATAATTAGACATAGTGTCGACTTAATATTTTTTTAACTTTATATTATAAAGACATAATCGTATATCACAAATATGACTTTATATTTAGTTAAAAAATAAAAATATTTGTATATGAAAAAATAAGACTTACTCTTACAAAAATTTGAAAGTTGCACCAATCTTGTAAATTTACAATTAAATTGCACTAGTCCGGTAACAAAAGCCTAAAAATTGGTAGTGAATAAATCAAATAAAAAATTTAAATAATTGAAGTAAAAAAAAGTTACAATGACATATTACATGCTAAGTAATTTACGTTCACGTAAGCTTGAGAGAAACGTTTTCAATTTTTTTAAGTTAAATATGATGTTGATTCTTAGTAATTAGTGTAATTGATCAAGGCTAATGGAAGAAGAAAATAAATATAAAAGTTTAATAATTTTTTTATATGTTTAAAGTAATTTACTTTCTTTATGCATTAAAGAAATTAAAATAAGAAAGTATAAAAAAAATAAAGAAATATAAATTAATTTTAACTTATCAAAGAATGGATTATTTTATTACTTATTTTTTTATTTTTATAAATATTTATTGATAAGTTTATCTGAATTGAGTCCAAATTTAATTTAGACTAATAAATTATTAACTTAATTGCACTCTTTACTGGCTACAAAGTTACTAATAAAGATACTTCTTTGTAACAGTATACATTGTTTTAGATAAAGATTGTATCTATTTTCTACATAATTTTTTTCTCAAGTTGTAATTGTCAACTTTTACTTTAGTGAATTTAATCTATGACAAGAGAAATACACTATTTTAAACAGAAATATTTTAGAAGCCCACAATTTCCATAAGTGTTGAGATTATGAGATTATATACGTTTATAGTATTTGTTTTTCATAATTATAAGTTTTTGGAAACATTTTAGGTACACTTTTGACTTCTTTCCTCTTCTGATTATTTAAATTATCACAATATAATTTATTTTTAAAACTATTTATACTTAAAATAATTTTAACAAGAATTTTATCCATAGTTTTCATGAAAATAAAGAGGATCCATTGTCTCATGAAAGATGAGCATTTAATATTGTTACATAAAGTTTAATTTTGTTTAAAAAAGAGAAAAAAATCAAACAAACTACACCTAATTTTTGTTTAAAGTCCATGACACTTCGATGAATTAAAGTGTTGTTTATATCTTCAAGTTGCTAATTTTAATGTGATGACATATTAATTTAATCTTCCACCAAAATAACTGTCACGTCCAACAAGCAAAACTAGAGTCAAGTCAATTCTTTTGAAATAATATATGATACGATGTTTCCCAGTAATATACACTCGATGATGGGAGCATAGTACATATCACTTATGGTATGACGTGCAAGTAACAAAAAACAATTTTGAAAATCAGAAAATCAATAGTTGGATGAAGATGGGTGCATATATATATATATATACTGAACCAAATCATATCCAAGCATAGGGTGATCATTATTATAAATAACTACGAGTTTCACATCGAAGTTCTCATTCCAAGCAACATTCCGCTTGCTCCATTTTGCTACACCAATGGGGTTTCTTGACCATCTTCAATGTTTCACTGCTTTTTCCACACCAAAGGAGAAACTTAGGCCCAAGCAGGTTTTCTCCATTTCCTACAACATCTTTCGCTATGTGTTGTCTCTCTTTTAATCTATAGTTTACCCCTTAAACATAAACTTATTTTAACTTTTTATGTATTAACTTTTACGTTAAAATACTATTTAAAATAATCATCAAAATTACCAAACATACACTATGTATAATCTAATCAACAAAATCGATTTTGTTTATGATATAGACAGTTAATGTGAGGGTGAAAATGGACTGCGAAGCATGTGTAAGAAGAGTTACAAATGCGGTGGAGAACTTGGAAGGTTCCTATATATAAAACTCTTCTCATTATCATTTTCTATTTTCTGCCACTTCTACTTTGACAACCATAACATGTTCGTTTTGCTGGCATTTGAGAAGCAAGTTATGTTTATAAGACAAGACCTTGACGAACACACAAGTGTTAATATAATCTTCAATTCATATATGTGGTAGTCCAAATAGCACATTACCGAAAGGCAGCAAAATAATAGTTTCACTGTTTTTGTATCTTAAAAATAAGAAAAGAATATGTTAATAATCAATCATCAAGCAATCAAGTCTTTGCTTGTAAATAAAGAAGCCCAAGTCATTGGCCCTTCATTTTCTTCCTCAGTTTAATCAAACTAGAAATTTTGTCCTGTGCAACTTTCTTCCTATAATTAAAGGAGACCGAACTAACTATTGAGCTCTATAGTCATGTCATATATGTTATAAAAACATATAATTCACCACGAATTAAATAATATACAAGGACAATCATGGTTGTAATTAAAAATAATTATGATTAACAATTATGATTTTTTCGCATTTTCTTATATCTCATTTTCCCTTATTCTATTTTTTCTATTGTTTTCTTCTCTTATCTTATATTTTATTTAGTTTATTAATCCTTTATATTTGTCTCAGAGGTAGATAACTAGTTGAGGTTCTACTCATATGTAAGGATTGTTTCAATTTTTTAATGCATGTATGTATTCTAGCATGTTAATTAGGCAGATTCTGGATCTTCTTCTACGCAACTTCCGATCAATCATTATCTGAATTTTACGTTATAGAAATATAACTATATATTGAAGTCATCATCATGCTTGACCCAAAATAAACAAAATAAAAGTTGAAGGACCCCAGAGTTAAAGTCAGCTTGAGACAAATATGTAGATTTGTGAAGTTGTGACTCAAAAACTATGGACACCAATATTCTAATGGATTTGGATTTTTTTTTACGTCTACTTTTTCTATAATTTTTGGAATATATATATTGTTACAAAACTGAACATAAAATAGCGTATTCTAGAAACAGTTGTGATTTTAAATATTCTAATTTTAATTTAAAAGTTTTATTAATGTCTTTAAAATTGAGTTTAAACTTTTAATAACAGTTTGTATTTAAAAATAAAGGAGTTATTATACTTTGATATCTTTAATGTAATAAACGCTATATTTTTTTAATAAAAAATTACTAATTTTGAATGCTTAAATTGAATAATAAGAATTGAAGTTAAGAAAATTGAATTTAGAAAACACTTCATGTGTATGTACTGCTGTTACTGCACAATGAAATCAAGATGGTCCAATTTATTTAGATGCGGTTTTGGGATGAGATGAGAAGATGAATTGTTTCAGGAGTGGAATCAGTGGATGTAAACCAAAAGCTGCAGAGGGTAACTGTGACTGGTTTTGTAGATCAAAAGGAGGTTGTTGAAGAAATTAAAAGCACAGGAAAGGTAGCTGATGTTTGGCCCTTTGTTCCCTACAATTTAGTGACTTACCCTTATGTGAGTGGGGCATATGACATCAAGGCACCAACTGGTTTTGTCAGAAATGTCCCTCAAGCACTTGGTGACCCTAAGTCTCCAGAGATGAAGCTTATGAGACTCTTTGATGATGATAACCCAAATGGATGTTCAGTCATGTAAAGCTACTTAGTGTTTGTGAAGCTTCATGCATGTTATTTTATTGTGTTTTCCCCCTGTACTCTATGAAAAGCATAGTTTGAAGCATCAACACAAAGATCATGATAATATATATCATTTTGCTTTATTTAGCTACGTACTGAAAAGCGATCCATATATGTATTATGCACACTCCAATGGACACTATTTGGTTGCATGCAAGGATAATTAAACTAAATTTAGCTAATAATATATGAACAAATTATTTAGAGTTATTAAATTTGTATAGATACATCTCACTGTTTAAATGTATTTGATATTATCTTTATTATAACTGAAATATATATTAGTATACCCATTAGAAATAATATAAAGTAGTATCTAAAACTTTTAGTACTGTCCCATAGAGATATTATTTCAACAAATACTAGATTTATCAAATTTAATATTATTAACACTAACCAAATAATAATGAAAAAAGCACGTAGAATCAATGAATTTATCTTTAATAATTCATTGCAAACCTAAAATTATGATTGATCCTTTACAATTCCAAGTTCAATTTATTTTATAGATTCGCTAACTAAATAATGATAAGATTACCTTTTATCTAATTAACTTAAGATCATTAAAGGTACTAATTCTTAACCGTAAAATAAAAATGGTGAGACAAACACTACAAATACATAAATATTTACATTCTAAAAAAATAGTTTAAAACTAATTTATATATTCACTTAAAAGGTAATCTTAATTTATATAAGATTAATTAACTTAAGATCATTAAAGGTACTAATTCTTAACCGTAAAATAAAAATGGTGAGACAAACGCTACAAATACATGAATATTTACATTCTTAAAAAATAGTTTAAAACTAATTTATATATTCACTGTACCCCTTAACTGTAGATTTAATTACTTATATAAGTAAAAATATAAATCAAAGAAAATCAAAATATCAATTTATAACACTAACTACAAAAGAACTAGAAAGCAAAATCCATGTATCTAGATGCTTTTATGTTAAGCAATCAGAGGTTGATCCTATAGGTGCTCTATGGTTTTGAAACTCTTAATCCTTTTCCGAGGTAGACAGATAATCTTAAAGGAGAGGAGATCTTTTGAGTATACAGTGTAACACCCTCATTTTGTAATTTATTATTATTGTAATTAATGTTAGTTATTTGTGTATGTTATTTGAAATTAGAAATGTTTAATTGATATGAACTATAGGATATCTCGCTATAGCGAGAATGAGGCGGTGAAAATGAAACATTCTAGAGCCCTCTCATTGTAGCTAAAATCTCTCGCTGTAGTGAGGATACTCTCGCTATAGCTAGAATGACAGACAGCAAAGGAAGAAAACTTCTGGTTTTTTCGCTGTAGCGAGAAAGTCGCGAGTTTGAGAGATATTTAAAGAACCCTCGCCCTAAAATCTTCATTTTCAACCAAATCACATATCCCTCTCTATCCTCTTCATACTCTCCCTCTCCTTTCTCAAAGAAAACCTCCAATAACTCTAGCTATTTCAGATTTGAGCTCAAACATCCATTCTTCTCGGATCTAAGTAAGTTTCTCAGAGCTCAGATCTCTATTTTATCCCTTTTCTTCGGTTCTCTCCTCATGTTAAGATCTTTACCTCGAAATACTTAGAAAACCTTATCTTTTGGAAGATCTCTCCGTGGATACTGTGGAATCTCTTTGTAGATCACTCAGAGAACTAGTTGGGAGGAACCGTTACCAGGTAAGGGGAGTATTTTCGAGCTTTAAGTTTGTATATACGTATTTAACGACCCTAGGAGGATGTGAATAACCTATTTTAGTAAAAACATATGATTTTATGGTGAAAGGTGATGAATCCACACTTTATAGATATTTTATTTGATTTTTATAAAGTTTTAATAGAAAAAAATAGATTTAGAGGCTGTAAATAACATTAAAATCTTATTTAGGTAGAAAATAATAACTTTCTTATTTTTTGTCTTATTTCCATTAATTTTTGTGAATATATTTTGCAATTTTGATCATTTGAATAATTGTGCAGGAAATTCTAGACAAATTTCATGAATTTTTGGCTCTTTGAAAAAAATATGAACTGAGAGTAACTACTATCAGATACCAGAGTAATCACTCCAGGGAGCTGGTTTCAAAGGATAGGCCAGAGTAACCACTTTCAGATATCAGAGTGCTCACTCCAGAAGCCCCAGACCCCAAGTGTCCTGCGCATAAACACTCTCAGAAATGGGAGTAATCACTCCAGAGACACCCAGAAGGAAGTGCCATGCGCGTGTTTACTCTCAGAAATGAGAGTAATCACTTCAGAAAGGGAAAAAGCTAAAGTTGTTGCGTGTGTTTACTCTCTTGTTTTACAGAGTGATCACTATGGGGCCATGTCAGACTTAGTATATATAGACTTTTAGAAATTAGGGTACGAGATTCATTTTTCCTTAGATTCTTTTACCACTTTTAGAGCATTTTGCAGAGCTTAGGATTCTTGGGTGATAGCCAGGGATCCATTATAGGTTTTAATTTCTAATTTCCCTTTGATTCTCCTTGATTTTACATTAATGTTGCTTACGTTTCTACATTCCCTTCTTTCATTTGTGAAGTCCATCCATATGGAGGGCTAAATTCTCTTGTAATTCCTAGTCAACTCATATGGTTCTTGAATTCTTGAGTTTAATGGCAATATCACTCTTTCTTTCCTTGGATTTATTAACCCCAATCTCTAAATGAAATGAAATTTGCATGAGGGGAACATTACTTAATGAACCCTAAATTACCCAACGAAATTCTAATCTAAAATTGCTTAATTTTGATTAATCTTTGAGATTGCTTAATCTTAGGGATAGAGAATTGGAGCCCATTAAGATGCTTGATTTTAATTGGGATACTAAAGTTAATTTTCGCTTGTTAAATTAACTTAATTCAAGGGAAAAATAGAGGATTATTGAATCATTTGAAAGAATAGGGATAGAACTTATTGATTGACTAGGGATTACTCTTTTTAATTGATTGAATTTCATTAGTTTACATTGTGTTCTTGATTAAAATCTAGAAATTGACAAACCTCCCCCCAATTTACTTGCTTTAAAATATATGTTTACACTTGTTCGATGTATGTTCCCAACCAAAAGTTCCTTGGAGATAACCTAGGGCAACACCCTAGTGTTGCATTTATATCTTGCATATTTGATGAGGATTAACGACAATCTTTGTGCATAACGAGTAGTGAAAATTCGTTCCATCAAATTGGCGCCGTTGCCGGGGAACTTTGGTGTTAATTTTGCATTGAACTTGTTAGTTGCTCTGTTTTAGTGTTCTGTTTCCTGTTTTTCTGCATTATTACTCTGTTTTTGCTGCATAATTCTGCAGCATTTGCTAGCTTGTGTTGTGTTTTCTTGCAATTAATTGCAATTCCTTTTCTGTTTTTGTTGCTTAACCTCTTTGCTTCATTTTACTGCACATAGACATTAGTTTCCTGCATAATTATCATCTGATTTTTTTTTCTGCATTTTTTTTTGCTGTTTCATCTAGCTTACTTCTTTTCATTCCTTATAATTAGTTTCTAGTGCATGACCAGATCGAATCCTAGGGACTTGTATCCACTTGACCCAGAGATTGATAGGACATTTCATAGTAGCATTAGAACACATAGGAATGTTCTGAACATTTTGAAGAGTTTTCATCTCCTTCATCTGTCTATTCATCACCCCATTCATTAGAATTTGGAATTGAAAACATGGCTGACAATGAAAGAACATTAAAGGAACTAGCTGCACCGGATGTAACATATCAAAATTTATGCATACAGTATCCTGATATTGATGCTCCTTTTGTTCTAAAAACTGGACTAATACACTTGTTGCCAAGACTTCATGGCCTTGTAGGTGAAGATCCGCACAAGCACCTCAAGGAGTTCCATATTGTTTGTTCAACTATGAGGCCACAAGGTGTGCCTGAGGAGCATGTCAAGTTAAAGGCTTTTCCATTCTCTCTGATGGATGCAGCCAAGGATTGGCTCTACTATCTCCCTCCAGGATCTATTGCTAGTTGGGACAACTTGAAGAGACTTTTCCTGGAGAAATTTTTTCCAGCATCAAGAGCTGCGTCCATAAGAAAGGAAATATGTGGGATAAGGCAACTTGAAAGAGAGACCCTCTATGAATATTGGGAAAAATTCAAGAGGTTGTGTGCTAGCTGCCCTCATCACCAAATTAGTGATCAATTGCTCATACAGTACTTCTATGAAGGACTGCACCCTATGGACCGAAGCATGATAGACGCCGCAAGTGGAGGGGCGTTGGTTGACAAAACTCCAATTGCAGCCCGGAATTTGATAGAGAATATGGCTGCCAACTCACAACAATTTGCAACAAGGCAAAATTCTTGTGTTACCAGAAATATGAGTGAAGTTCAAGTTGCTGAGTCTAGTAAAATAGAACACAAGCTTGATGAATTGGCATCCATGGTGAAGCAATTGGCTTCTATGCAAAAGAGTGCTGCTGCATCCTCATCTGCTCCACCACCCATTCCAGCCATGTTGTGTGGTATTTGCTCAGCTACAGACCATTACACTGATAGCTGTCCTACACTATAAGAGTCTGATACTTTAGAAGGTAATCCTCAGGCCTATGCTGCAAATATTTACACTAATAAATTTCCTTTTCCAAATTCGCAGCAGCAGCCCAATTGGGATCTATCTTCCAATAGATATAACCCAGGCTAGAGGAACCATCCAAATTTGAGATGGGGGAACAATTCTCAACAACAGAACCAGCAGCACGGCACTCAATATCAAGCACATCATGCTGGCCTAAATAGATTCCATCCATCTCAACATCAACCACAACAAGCCCAACAACATCACTAACCATCTTCCTCACAATCAAATGCACCCCAGAAAAATGAACCATCACTGGAGGAGCTCATGAAGCAATTGACCATGAACAACATCACTTTCCAGCAAAGAACCGAGGCTAGTATTAAGACTTTGGAGAACCAAATGGGACAACTAGCCTCA